TCTGGTGAAGCCTCTCGCCGCCCCTGAGCCTCTGGCCTGTACCCCAGTTCTGTATGAACAAATAAATAAATCTTTAAAAAAACCAAAAGACAAAAAAATGGTGCTTCCATTTTGGGTAGGGCTATTTCTGGGACATGATCACCTACCATCCTAGTTGACTCCCTTGGCTCCATTAATACTATTAAAATTCCTAGGCTCTACCATCTTGAGGAGAGTTGCTCTAAGGGAGGCAGCTAGGCTCTATTACCTCTTCCAAGTGAAGTACCTTTATTTCAGGGTTTTTCTCCTTTCTTGGGTGAGAGGGCACGCCTAGATATATCACCAGGGTTAGGTATGTTCAAAGCTGACAATGTAAGGCAGACAACCAACTGTTTCTCAAGCTTTTAAGTGAAGGTACTCTAAATTTCTTATGGGGAAGATCCTCATTCCAAAATCACCTAAGTACAGATGTTGTTAAACAAAGACAGAAGAGCTACTATTGTCCCCAAAACATTTGAACTGCTACAGGCAGCAAAGATTCTGAACTGATGGTTATACAGAGACACAGCAACTAATAGCATCTCAGAGCTGGATGGAATGACATGGTAAATAAAACCAGCAATATACACTCATTAGGCTTTTGAGAAATATGCTAAGAAAATACCAACCTGACACTGTAAGTTTGATAAAAGTACTGTTATGTGACAGCAGGCTGAAAGATGTCAGCACATTTCCAAATAACTGGGTCCTGTCTCTACATAAAATCAGTCTTCCTATCAGGCCTACAGAAATACCTACATCTAAGCACTTAAGCAGTGAACCGACCGAGGTTAAAATTGGCAATATTCTGTACTATGAGCCATCTGTTAGGGTAGAACTCAGAGTTCTCTGAGCCTGGAATTTATTTGCCTTAGGATTGCTCGTGGCATGAGAGTAATCACTGTGACCCAGAATGCAATCAAATAAAATAGACTTCAAATTATAAAGTTTTGAGTATGCTCTTTAACCCAATTTGTAAAGTGCTTTGGTGCTTCCATTTACTTAACAGAATCCTGATGACACCTGTAAAATGGTTTAAACCATTTTACAAATAAAGACAGTTCAAAATTATTGGAATGCCCTATAATGGTAAGTGGTAGAATGGCTAACAGCTATCCTAATATACTTTCCATATACAGTGACATAAATGAACTGGGTACACTGGGATGGAAAGGCTTAGTAGGTAAAACAGTAAAATGAGAAGGGAAACAGTTGATGGAATTGTGCGAGTCAATACTTTACGTACTAGCAACATGAACTATGTGACTGAATGCTCAAGAGGACTGAAAGTGTGGGAGAGGAGCCCTTTGCTCTAGTTTTGTATTCAGCATACCCATTTGCAAAGGGAGTTGCACAGAACACTGGGTAAGATGTTATTCTGACACAAAAGGGAGCAGAGATATAAAAGTAAACTAGTTCCAGTTTTGCCCCAGTCTTGCTAGTGGGCTTTCAGCATAAAGATGGGGGAAAATACTGTCTTCATCACCAAGTTAAGTAATTGAAGTGACTGTGACAGGGGCTTCCCTGGTGGGCCAGGAGTATAAAACAGTGCTATCAAGTTATATCGTCAGCCACTACAGCATGAGTTCCATGCCCAACTAGGGAGCTGACCTGCATGGTGCAGCAGACTTCTTAACTTGCCTGTCTTGGCTGCTGTTCCCCTCAGCAGTGTATTTCAGTAGTTCTGCTCCCCACCCTTGTCTGGTGAATTCTCTCACCCCCCTGCAACACTGCTGTCCTATACCCCAGTTCTTGTATGCATAAATAAACCTTTAGAGAGTGAGAGAGAAAGAGTGACTGTGGCAGCCTATTTATTTTGAAGTTAAAAACAAGCAAACAAACAACTTTTTAAATTAAATATAAGTAAAGATGTTTAAACATCACAGTACTGGTGGTGATCAGTAGAACTGTTAAGGATCTCTTCTCCTAGTAATTTAATATTTAGTCCTCAATGAAATCCCTGATAAAAATTATTTTCATGCCTACCCATCAAAGATGGGTTTTTGTCTAAAATTCTAAAATTTTATTTTCCATATGGCAATAAACTAAAATTCAAGTATAAATAAAGCTGAAAAATAACAGATAATATAAAGTTTCCTGATGTGAAATACGTAGGACTATAGACAAAGCCTGGATGATAGGAATCAAAAAATGAGTAAATTTGGGCTAAGACAGGAGGATGACAATGGATTTGTTTCAAAATTGCTGTTCTTTTTATATTATGTACAGAAGAAGCAAAGGGAAAGGGCCAAATTCTCCAAAGGCTTTATGAATTGCCTGATAACTAACATAGTACTAATTGTTATGGAAGTTACACTCACTTGTTTTCCATCCACTTCAATATCTGCAACATAGTTCTCAAACACTGTAGGTACATACACCTCTGGGAACTGGTCCTTGCTAAAGACGATGAGCAAGCAAGTCTTGCCACAGGCTCCATCACCGACAATCACCAGTTTCTTCCGGATGGCAGCCATTGCTGAAACATAAAACAAAGGAGCTACATAAAATGCCCAAAGTCATAAAAGCTTCAGGCTATAAATCACATTTTTTTCTAACCATGGGGCACAAGCATTTATTAGCATACCCACATACAAAATACTAGTACAACTATATACTTAATACCATAATGTCATACCAAAAACTAATATTGTATTTAGTGGTGAAAAAAAAATCAAAAGTCTTCCCCAGGAGTAAGACAAGATTGTCAGGCCTTCCTGGTGGCCCAGGGGTTAAGTCGCAGCCTATCAAGCTATCACCAGCTACTTCGGCATGGGTTTGGACTCCCAGCCTGGGAGTTAGCCCACACGGTGCATTAGACCTTTCTTGTCTCACCTGCTGCTCCCCTTTAGCAATATATTTCCGTAGAGCCACATGTTCTGCTCCACACCCTGTCTCTAGTGAATCCTCTCACCCCCAAACCAGTTCTTCACTCTCACATACACACAAAAAGAAAAAGACATAACAAAAAACATCCATTTTTTGTCATGTCTATCTGGCATGATACATGACACTAGAAATTCTAGCCAGGCAATAAGGCAAGAAATAAGAGGCATCTAGATTGGTAAGAAAAAAATAAAACTACTTCAATTCACAGAAGACATGATCTTATATATGGAAAATCTTAAAGAATTCAGTAAATATTAAGTATAAGAATAAACAAATGTTATGTGAACATACTAGAACCAATTAAATATTTATAGGGTAGCAATGAATCAGTGAAATAAAACTGAGAAAACATTTTCACTTCAATGGCATCAATAAGAACAGGAATAAATTAAAAGTGCAAAACATAATTTGAAAACTATGTTACTGAGGGCCCTCCTTGGTGGTGCAAGGAGTTAAAAGTGCAGCACTGTTAAACTAGCCACAGCCACTTCAGCACAAATTCAATCCCTGGCCAGGGAGGAACCACAAGGCGCAGCAGACCTCACCTGCTGCTCCTCCCTGGCAGTGTACTTTGTCAATCTGCCTGTTCTGCTCCCCACTCTGTCTCTGGTGAAGCCTCTTACTACTGCCCCTGCACCTCTGGCCTATACCCCATTCTATATGCATAAATAAATACATCTTCAAAACAGGAAAGAAAACAGTTATTGAGAGAAATATAAGCCATAAAAGGGAAAGACATTCATGGTTCATGGATTGGAATATTGTTAAATGGCAATATCCTCCAACTTAATCTACAAGTTCCTATCAAAATCCCAGCTGGTTTTTTTGTAGAAAATGACGTACTGCTCAGAAAATTCAGATGGAAATTCAATGGACCCAAAATAACAAAAGCTATCTTGAAAAATAACAAACTTGCAGGAGTCACACTTCCTGATTTCAAAACTTAATACAAAGCTACATTAATCACGATAGTGTTCCATAGGCATAAGGATATAAATAGGTAAACAAATTTCAGACAAAATAGCAGAACGTCAGAAAATAAACCCTCTGATTTAGGATCAACTGATTTTCAACAGAGATGCCAAGACAATTCAACGAAGACAAAAAAGTCATTTCACCAAATGGTGCGGAGACAACTGAACATATATGCCAGAAGTCTGAAGAAAACCCTACCACATAACATCACATACATAAAGTAAGTCAAGAGGGATTATACTTAGCTGGAGAAATTAAAACTATTTAAAAATATTTTTAATTAAAAAAATTTAATATATACTATATAAAATAACTTAAATATATACAGGTTAGTGGCTTTATATATATTTACACTGGTTGTACAAGCAACACCACCATCCATCTCTGTAACTTTTCTCTGTATGAAACTGAAATACTGGGATTCCCTGGTGGCACAATGTTAACGTGCAGCACTATGACGCTAGTCTCAGTCACTGCAGTGTGAGTTCCATTCCTGGCCAGGGAGGTGGCCCACATGGCACAGCAGACCTCTCCTATCCTGCCCACTGCTCCCCTCAGCAGTGTATTACAGTCAGTTCATCTGTTCTGTTCCTCACTTTGTGGTGAATACTCTCACCTCCTCACCCCTGTACATCTGGCCTGTACCCCAGTTCTTGCATGCATGAATATTTTTTAAAACCTGAAACATTATACTTAATAAAACAGTAACTCCTAGATAATACCTCTTCTTCCCCCCCCACCCCAAGATCATGGCAAAGTTAAGAATCTACTCTCTCTGTATTTGACTACGCTTGCTACTTGTACAAGTAGAATCATAAACTGTCTTTTGTGAATAGCTTATTTCTATCAGCAAAACACCTGCAAGGAGGTTCAGCTATATTGTAGCATGTTTCAGAACTTCCTTCTATTTGAAGGCTGAATAATATTCCATTGTTTGTATATAGTACATACTGTTTATCCATTGATCTGCTTAATGGGCACCAGGGTTGCTTCCACCTTTTATTTATTTAAGATTTATTTATTTATTTATGCATACAAGAGCTGGGGTGTAGGCCAGAGATGTAGGAGGGTGAGAGGATTCACCAGAGACAGAGTGGGGAAGCAGAACAGGCAGATCTACTGAAATACACTAGAGAGGTCTCCTGTGCCATGTGGGTCACCTCCCTGGCCAGGGATGTAACTCATGCTGCAGAGGCTGTGAATAGCTTCATAGTGCTACGCTTTAACTTGTACCACCAGGGAGGACCCTGAACTTCACACTTTAAATGGGTGAATTATAATTCATGTGGGTTATACTTCATGCAGACTACTTCCATGTGGCAGGAATTAATGATCAGTCACTTTAAATCCTTCCACTCCAAATTTTAGCTGTGCGTTGTTACCCAGCCAAAAGAAATGACTACATTTCCTCCTGGCTTCCCTTAAAGCTAGGGATGACCACACAGAAAATTCTAGCTCACAAGATGTAATCAGCAATTATCTTATGGACTTACAGAATGTCTTCCTTAAAGTGAAGTCACAAGTCCTTTTTCAACTCCTTCCTCCTTCATACTGCTTAAGCCCCTGGAGTCAAGGCTGTTTTCTATATAGCCAACTTGGAACACAGGGATGAGTGCCACATTCTGGAGTTAGAAAAACAAGAAGTAGAAGGAGCCCATATCTCAGATAATCTTGGGAGCTACCATCTCAGTCCCAGATTGCTTACTGTCACATTTTTTTATGTGAATGAAAATTGTCTTGTTTACGGTGGTAATTTTTTTAGGTTTTGTTACTGGTAGTCACAGTAATCCTCAACAATACATATACTCACTAAATAACTATTGTTTAAAATGGAGTGGGTAAGATCATCTATTGGGGTATATAAAGAAAAAAATAGAAGTTATTTTTCTAGTCTAGAAAATTTAAATTTTAATATACATGTTTTATACAATATAGAAGCATAAGGGTACACTATAGAAGCATAAGGTACCATAGTGGGAAAAACTGACAGTTTTGTGATCACTAATTCATGAGTTCTCAACAGTGTGAAAAAATACTTGAATATGTATCTAGCTGAGTGTCTATGATGAAGTTTTAACCAAATGTGAAGTGATCTAGAGATTCTAAAAGGTTTTTAAAATTTTTGTAAAATAAAAAGTAGGTTGAGGATAATACTAATAATGAAAACATAATAAAGAAACAAGTAACGTGAGATGAACTGTTTAAAACTGTAGTCCAGGGCCTCTGGTGGCTAAGTCTCAAAGCACTATTGAGCTAACCCACGTGGGCAGCAGACCTCTCCTGTCTCACCCGATGCTCCCCTCAGCAGTGTATTTCAGTAGATCCAACTGTTCTTCTCCCCACTCTGTCTCTGGTGAATCCTCTCACCCTCTGTGCCTGGCCTAGACACCAGTTCTTGTGTGTATAAATGAGAAAAAAGAAATCATGCTAGAAAAACTGTAGCCCAGCACTTAGGCCACCCTTTCAGGTGCCAGCTTGTGACCAAAGCTGAAAACAAAATTCATCAGGGAGTCTTAGGTTTGAGGAAATATTGCCATCTTTGAATATCATTCTTTTAAGAATTACTCCATTCTCAAGAAATAAACTCTCAATCTAATGTGGTTAAAGACATATAAAATGAAAATGCCTGAAAACAATCAAAAAGGCTCTAGAATATTTTCCTTGGGGAAATCTGGCCCAGAAAAATTTAAAATCATTCAGCCTGCATGGTAACAAAGAAATTACAAGTGATTTTAGGACAAAATGAAAATGAAAACCTACATTTATAAGGTGATGTGTGAGATGCTGAGATTATGACAAAACAAGAAGAAAAAAGTACAAACATCAAAAAAGAAACTTGGTATTTTCCCTGAAATGAACCAGAAAAAAATTATTTTAGTATCTTTCCTTTCCACTTTAAAAACCAGCATTCTCCCCAAATATGTGGCTTGCCAGCTTGAGAAAGAAAATCAAACTGCGCACTCTGCCAGGTATAATTTTCTAGGCTCAAACTGATTTCAGGATAATTTTTAAGGACCTTGAGTAGAGGTATGTTTCTCTAGTAAGTTATAATACATCTATACAAGTTGTCTATAGCAAATTATAATTTACTATATTTTTCTTTTAAAATTTATACTTTAAAGGTTTGAAACCTGTAGCATAAGTTACTGTGCCAGTCTCATTCAAGTCAAAAAGGAGTACTCTCCTGGTGCTGAAAAGGTACAGAAAATAGTACATACTCTCTGTCATTATAAAACCAGTCTTCCCCAAAATTTCAAAAACAAAACAAAAAAAACCAATTTGTTCTGGTTGGGGACCAACCAGAATAAACAGTTACTATGAAAGAAAACAGACGCAATAGATACAATTGTCTTTCCCACCTATAAGCAAACAGCACTGGGTGCCAAATAAATAGTAGTGTCCTATGTAATTCAGTTTGTACTCAACAGACACAAGAGCAGACAGTTCACTGATTCCCAGGAGTTCTGCAATACAGAATCCCTCTAGAGAGGAGGTGGGAATCTCAGAAATGAACACCTCTCATGTGGTAATGACCACTCAGATGAGGAACTAGGTGAACAACAGTTATTACTAACCAGGGTCTCTTACTCCTGCCTAGGCCTAACCTCAGGCCATCTATCACCTTTCAATTCATACAATACTGACACTTGTGGCATCCCGAATCTTTTCTCCCTCTCTACTGACTCCCTCCTCTCAGCCTACAGTAAAGTGCAAGGTAGCCGCCGCCTCCTTCTTCTTCTTCTTTTTTTTTTTAAGATTTATTTATGCATACAGAACTGGGGTACAGGCCAGAAGTGCAGGGGGGGTGAGAGGACTCACCTCTGGGGCAGGCGGGGTTCAAACTCATGCTGAAGTGGCTTTAGCTTCTTAGTGCTGTGCTTTAACCTGCTGCGCCACCAGGGAGGGCCCAGTAGCCTTCTTCTTAAAAGAAATTTTTTTTAAGATTTATTTATGTATTCATAGAGAACTGGGATTCAGGCCAGAGATGCAGGTGCGGTGGGAGGATTCACCAGAGAGAGTGGGGAGCAGAACAGGCAGATCAAGGAAGTACACTGCTGAGGGGAGCAGCCAGCGGTCAGAAGAGGTCCGGTCAGAAGAGGTCCACGGAGCCATGTGGTCACCTCCGGGGCTGGGGATGGAACTTGCACTGGGGATGGAACTCACACCAATGCGACTACTGCCAGCTTGCAGTGATGCTTCCTAACCCATTGCGCCACCAGGGAGGGCCCAGTAGCCTTCTTTTAAAGCAATAAATATCCCCATATCCATGCTTTCCTCTAGTTATCTTTTTCTTGTTGGCCTGTATATACAGAAGGTATATATTTCTGTACCTTCATATCCACTCATTTGCTTAAATTCGTCCAAATCTGCCTTCTGTGTAAACCTCTAATGAAATGTTCTCAAAAGTCACCAATGGGCCCTCCCTGGTGGCGCAGCGGGTTAAAGCACAGCACTGAGAATTAAAAGCCGCTTCCGCATGAGTTCGATTCCCGCCTGCCCCGGAGGTGACCACATGGCGTGGCAGACCTCTCCTGACCCGCCCGCTGCTCCCCTCAGCAGTGTACTTCGTGGATCTGCCTGTTCTGCTCCCCACTCTGTCTCCGGTGAAGCCTCTCACCGCCCCTGAGCCTCTGGCCTGTACCCCAGTTCTGTATGCACAAATAAATAAATCTTTAAAAAAAAAAAAAAAGTCACCAATGGCCTACCTTTTAAAAAAATCTAGGGCTCTCTCTCAAGGATATTTTTTGTTACAATTTACCACCCTGATAAAATATAATGATGTGTTGTCTCATAAATCTTTTGTTTCCTTAGCTGTAGTCCCACACTTAACCAGTCTTCCAAGACTGTCCCTTCCCCATATGCCACCTATCTCTGGGGATTTCAATCCTTCAAATACTACTTCTATGCACCTCAATTGCAAATCTCTGACCCACTTCCTGTCCTCAAGCTCCTGTCACACCTCAACAATGTTCTCTAACTGCACATGAAATTCAACATCTATTAAACCACTGTCAAACCTCTCTTTTTAGGTCCCCCAAACATGGTAGCAGAAACAAAATTACATGTAGTATACTCAACCACCGTATAGAACCCCTGAGGTTAATGGATACTCATACATCCTTTGAAGTTGACAGTAAAACTACTCTTCAAGTTCTAAGGAATTTTGTTCTTCCAAGGGTGTCATTTCCACCACTACCTCCTTTCATCCTCATACTGATTCCTCCAGTTAAAGGCCTCAGTACTACCTACCTGGAAAAAGCAAAAATCCAACTGGTTTTTGTATTTCCTTTCTATGATGCTTGTTGTAGCCAAATTCTCCATTCCTATGCCTGGGCTCCAGTCATTACATGTTTCCTCAAATAGCTTCAAACAACCCTCAATGTCAAATTCTTATCAAGTCACCTCAGTATTGCCTTCAGGGCCCTCTAAAATCTAGCACTACCTATTTTCTCATCCTACCTTTTATTCCTTATCACATACCTGGTTTTAACTGCCCTTATGACACTACTCTTCTAACTCAAAGTAATGCCTTTTTGTCCCTCCCTGGTGGCGCAACAAGTAACAGAACAGCACTATGAAGCTATCTGCGGCACGAGTTCGATCCCCAGCCAGGAGGTGATCCAAATGGCACTGCAGACCTCTCCTGACATGCCCACTGCTCCCTACTCTGTCTCTGGTGAATCCTCTCACTGCCCCGGTGTCTCTGGCCTATACCCCAGTTCTGTATGCATAAATAAATAAACCTTAAAAAAAAAAAAAAGTAATGCCTTTTCTATTTTCCTCTCCCAAGAAAGAAAAGTGTACTTGTCTATCACAAAGTCAATTTTAGATCCTAATCTTGTACTTGGCACAATCAGATGATGCCTCCAAGTGGGACTTTCAACCTTTCCTGGTCCTTGTATTATACATCAAATCAACTACTTTTACCAAGTACCCTACTTTATTTGAGAGTGGTAGCAGCTGTTATTTCTGTATATCTGATTCATATCCACCCCTCGAGTTTTAAGTGCCTTCAGGATAGGAATCACTTCTGGTTTGGCTATCCCACTCTAAGCTGTAGTTACTGTTGCACTAATGTGGCAAGGGCAGGCTGACTAAGATACATGTAGAGAAGAGAAAAAGCCCAAAGAAGGTGCATGTTTCCCAAAAACATTGATTTTTTAAAAAAAAAAGATATTTATTAATTCATGCATGCATGCATAAATGGGGTGCAAGCCAGAGCTGCTGGGGCAGGGAGAAGAGAATTCAGAGGTAGAGTGGGGAACAGAATAGGAAGATCTACTGAGGGCAGCATCAGGATAGACAACAGAGGTCTGCTTCACCAGGTGGGTCACTTCCTGGCCATGGATGGAACTTGTGCTGCAGTTGCTGCAGTAGCTTCACAGTTTACAATTTAACCCCTTCTGCCACCAGTGAAGACCCAAAAACACTTTTAAAAACCTGATATGGGCCCTCCCTGGTGGTGCAACGGGTTAAAGCACTATTATGCTATCACAGCCACTGCAGCATGAGTTCAATACCCAGCCAGCCAGGGAGGTGACCCACATGGCACAGCAGACCTCTCCTGACCTGTCTGCTATTTCCCTCTTCAGCAGTGTATTTCAGTCTGTCTGTTCTGCTC